AATAATTTTAATATAAATAAAATATTTGTTAATTTTATATATCTACTTAAGTTGATTATTTTAAACATAAGCCTAAACAACTAGCATATGCTTCACAAAAACATCCAAAAAAATGTACAAGAGAATTTATTTCTAAGGATATTGATTTTGGTAAAATTTATTTTTATTATTATTTTTATATTTATATATATATTCATAATACCTAATTAAATAATATATAATGCATTTAACCAAGAAATAGATAATACATCTAACCAAGAAATAAATGATGCATCTAATCAAGAAATAGATGATGCATCTAATCAAGAAATAGATAATGCATCTAATTAAGAAATAGATGATGCACCTGATTAAGAAATAGATGATACACCTGATCAAGAAATAGACGATGCACCTAATCAAGAAATAGATGATGCATCTGATCAAGAAATAGGCAATGCATCTTATCAAGAAATAGGTGATATGTTTAATCAAGAGATGCAAGAAATTCAAGAAACTAATAATATAAAAACTAACAATATTAATAAAGAAGTGTTGCTAACTTTCACTCTAGGTGATATCACCTAGTTCGGAAATCAGGTCTGGATCAGGTTGAAAATCTGGTCGGAATCTGGTCAGAAATCAGATTAAAAACAGTTTGGAAAAATCGAAATTAATTTTTTTTATGAGACTAACCAATCAGAATTTAAGATCAGGTATAATGTGAAATCATGATTTTTTCAAGAAATCGCTCAAATTTTGCTTATGAAACTACTTTCTACATTCTAACAAAAAAAAATTCCTTGCAAAATTTTGGGTTAGAATTGTCTTCACTATTGCACATCATTAACTCTAACCCTAATGTAACCTTGGCCCTAACCCTAAACTTAATGTATCGTTATTGTTTTTATTGTTTTTATTGTTTTGATTTCACTAATTAGTCGGTCATATGATTAGCGATGCATCACACTAATAATTATCTTTTTTTATTAATAAAATTGAACTTGTACAATCAAAATAAATCTCTCGTATACTATCAACTTCAATATAACTAACACTAACTCTAAATAAGGCTATGAGTAACTCCCTTAATGCAATTTGCCAGGTGATATAATATTTAAATTATTAATCATTTTATTCAGAATGAATATAAAGCACATAATCTAAAAAAGCAAAACAAATACACAAATCAAGAACATAAGATACTATTTACTACTACATGCTATACTCACGACATAATCTAGCCATTGCAATTATTGCAGTTTGTGTAAATTTGTGAAATTTGTAGATAAGAAATTGCTTAACAATAAATGAAGATCTATGAATTTCACAAAAGAATAATCCTAGTTTTTCAACTCATATAATAATCGTGATCAATAATTTTTTTCACTACTCAGATTATTTAATTAACACACTAACCTTAACTCTCTGGGTGTTCTCATGCAGCACTCAGTGTAATTTGCCAATAGCCTAATAATCTTCAAATCATTTTACTTCATTCTATTTAGTATAAGAGAATAAACTATCAATTAGTCCTTTGAATCAAAACTGCAAAACAAATTCACTGATCAAGAAAATACTACCTATTTACTATTATAACTGTATGTACAAATTATTTTTATTCGCATCATGATCTAGCTGTCACAATTATTGCATGAATTTATTAGTAAAAATTTTAGTGATCTTGGGCAAAATTGATTAATTCCATCTCAGCCAACCAGGATTCCAACTCGGAATTTAGAAATCCCTATATGAGTTGCAGTTCTATTCGGCTTTCGATTGCTTGACCACAATTATTATATCACTAAAAGTTATCAGCTAGTAATAGTTATATAAGGAAGCAAAAAAACACATTTTTATACTTAGCTTGTTCAATAAAAATTCCTAATCTTGCTCTCTGTTGTAATATTGCCTTGAATCTTGTTATGCATATACTCAAAGTTAGAATGTAGATTATGGAAATGAATTATTTCTGATGAATACTATGCTATTATTCTGGCATCTATTCAAGAGATGGCATATTAAAACTCTCGTGAATCATTGTAAAAGTTGCCATTACAAAAAAAAAAAAAAAAAAAAAAAAAAAACCTTGTCTGAAATTACCTGATTAATGCTGGTTTGGTTTTCAAAAAATTTTGGAAAGTACAGGTCATTCCCATATTTAGAAATTTGCTAAAGCAAGTATATACATATATACATATCTAAGCAATGCAATATACATGTGACTGAAACCTTTTGGCCATTTCGGCCACGTGGCAAATGATTAAAGTAAAGTTTTCAATAATTTGTAAATATGATAAAAATTAGACTTCATATATATTAAGCCAGATCTGCAGAAACTTATGCAAGGTCTTTTGGTATTTCGGCAAGACCTTTTGGTATTAAGCAGAACCTGGAAGTTTCGGCTGTATATTAAGTAAGATTGCCGAAAATTCCAAAGTCTGCTAAAATACCAAAAGGTCTTATTGAAATACCAAAAGACCTTGCATAAGTTTCTGCAGATCTGGCTTAACATATATGAAGCCTAATTTTTAACATATTTACAAATTATCGAAAACTTTGCTTTAATCATTTGCCATGTTGCCGAAATGGCCGAAAGGTTTCGGTCACATATATACAATGCAAAATTAAATAGTTAATGCATAATGCAACCCATTTATGCATTGTCTTTCTACATAAATTGCCTATAGTATATTTAATTTTTCATATTTGCTATGGGGTAAATCTTATAATGTTCAAGTATGAAGACATTGAATTAATAATAAATTAATTATAAGTAACACATTATATGATACTAGATAAGAAGAAAAATAAAACCTATTTGAGTGAGTCCCCATATTGTTTTTTCACATTAATCGCCCATGAATTTGATTTCCATACTTGTTATAAACATTTGATTGCTATAAACATTTGATTGCTATAAACATTCGATTGCTAAAGTAAATCATATGTTCAAGTATAAAGACATTGAATTAATGAATAACATCTTATAATATACTAGGTAAGAAGAAAAGAAAGGCATTACGGTCAGTAATTGAATTTAGGATAAAAAAAACAAAAATAGAAAACTTATAACGAAAAATTCCAGCCCTTTTGTTTACGCTTGCAGCATAAAATTTATTTTCTTAAACTGTATTTTATTATGTCTAATAAAAATATGAAAAGTATATCGTATTGAATGTTATTTGATAAATTATATAAAGAGCATTGAATTACCTTTGTAATCAAATCAAAAAACTTTCAGTTCAATGTTTTAAATAAAACCTGTCTTAACTATTATTGCTTGTAGTATATAAAAACATGTTCCACACCTTAAAAAACTTTGTTAAAAAAGATACAAAGTTAATACTACTTGTATTACTGTATAAAATTTGCTATTTTACTGTGTAAAAATACTCTACCTCATTAAATAATTTATCATTCTGCCTATTAATGGAAAGCGACAATTGTGGTGATTCATTCAAATCGTTATGTTTTCAATATCCTTGTAAATATGGTATAGAATGTTCTGGTTACCATTTAGAACCAAATAATGAAATCTTGTATGAAGATACGGAGATACTTAACGAAAATTTAGTAAGTGAAGCTCAATCAGAAGAGATTCAATGTGATGATGATGACGATGACTATGATGATGACAACAATTATAATAATAGTGAAGAACAAACAAAAAAATTAGTATTAAATACAGATAAGAAATTTGATACATGGGACCTAGCTGATAAATTCATTGATGACTATACAAAACAAGAAGGCTTCAGTATATGTAAGAAAAGGCATACATTAGACCCAAAAGATAATATTATTATAAAACGTCGAATATATGAATGCTCTTATGCTGGCACACACGAACCTCAAAAAAAATTCTAGAAGAGAACAGAAGGAATTAAGATTCACATATGATTGGGTGTTCCTGGCATGTTATCCTTGCTTTTTCTAAATCAGCTAATAAAATTCAGGTTAATAGCATAATCGGTGAATATAATCACGAAATGAATCTTCTTATTGCTGAAATAGCACCAAAATTCAGAAGGTTAACAAATGAAATGTTGAAAAAAGTTAAATTTTGGACAATTCATGGGAGAATGTGTATAGTGACCCAATACAATCAATTAGTTGCATCATTTCTGTATAAAATAATAAATAAAAAAGATTTGAGTAATGCTATACAAAGATTTAAAAAACAAGTAAAACCAGATAAAAATGATGCATGTAATATGCTTACCATGTTATATTTAAAAAAAGATGATGATCCAAGGTGGATAATAAAGTCTCGGTTTGAGCTGGATGAAAGAAGGCTAAATTTGTTGTTTTGGATATCCCCTGATCAAATTAATGCTTATAAAAAATATAGGGATGTTGTAATCGTTAATACAACATCTAAAACTAATCAATTTGATATGATATTAATGTTAGTTATAGTTGTTGACAATAATTTTCGGAATTTAATAGTAGCTGCTATGCTTTTAGAAGATGAAACAGAAACAACATTTACATGGGTTCTTCAAGAATTAAAAAACTCTTGTGATGCTGCTTCAGTGGTTTTATACTCTGATACTAATCTAGCATTAATATTGTCAGTAAGAAATAATTATCCAAAGACACAACATCTTCACTGCATTTTTCACATTGACCTAAACCTAAGAAAGAAGCTTAAAGGAAAGTTGAGAGATCAGTTTGAATCATTTCGTTTTAAATTTTTAGTGATGCATAATTCACTTTGCCATAATAAATTTGAAACCCAATGGAATGCACTTATCAATAAATATCCAGATTGTAAAAACTATTTTATAAGAACTTTATATTCTTGTAAGAGTAGTTGGGCCAGTTACGTGATCAATAGAAATTTCACCACTGGAATTCAAAGCACACAGCGAGTAGAAGTGTGCAATAAAGTAATCAAGGACAGGCTGACCAGATCTTCACGTTTAGCCGAGGTTGTTAAAGAAATTCAAAAAACCTTTAATAATCAGTCAAAAAAGGCAATGTTAAGTGAATATAAAAATGAAATTCTGACAAGAGGAATGCCAAATATAATAGATGAATACTTTTCTGAGCTAGATAAAATTTTACAAGAATATTTAACACCACAAATTCTTCAAAAACAGCATGATCAAATGGTGCACTCACTATGCTATGATGTGTTTTTATATAATGTTTGGCAATCACTTCTGGAGGTAAGGTTTATTAAGTTAAGAAAATTATAGCATAACAAAAATAGTAACTAATATATTATTAATGAACTTCCCTCTGGTATAGATAATGGACAATTCTTATCAACAAAATATGGCTAGAGAAGATGATTATAATCAATCACAATCGCTATTTTCATCATTGCTAAAAACAATACCTCATAATTCAGTTAAAGAAGTGTGGAATGTAATTAGGCATAGTGTACAAAACTCAGAACCACAGCATATAATTCTCCTTAATGACGGCTCACATTTATGTACTTGCCTTTTGCTAATCAATAAAGGAATAGTGTGCCAACACTTTTTTTGTGTTATGTCTTACTCAACTAATGTGTATTTTCATATTTCGTTAATACCTCATTGCTGGTACAATAACAACAAATATAATATTAGTCAAGAGAATATACTGACTTACCAATTCGTTAGAGAAGAATCAGAACTACCTTTACTCAAACTGTTGACATTTCAGCATTTAGTAGAATTTAAACAAACACATATTGAACAGCTACAAGGACCTAAACAAAAGTATAGATTCGAAATGAGTTATGCCAAAAAAGCTCTTGATCTTGCAATTAGAGCTAACAGAGTCGAAGAATTTGTTAGTCACTTGAAAAATTTCATTGAGGTGACAAAAAATGATTTGTTTGACACACAAGACAATACTAATTTTATAAGCATCGAAGATCCTTTACATGTACCACATAAAGGGCAACAACCAAATAGATATAAATCCAGTGGTGAACCTTCAAAAAAAGCTCGACGTATTGTTCAAAGTACTGATTAGCGCAATGAAGATGAAATCTGAAAGGTAACCGAAGCTTTAATTAACAATGTTAGCACCTTACAAGATTCAGAAAAAAAGGTTAGAAGGTGTTATAAATGCAAACAAGTTGGTTATTATGCATCAACATGACCAAATAATGAGTAAAAAAATGTGGAATAATAAGTGTTACACATAAAGGTGCAGATGTTAGAACATGAAATAACATATGTCATAGCTGTAACTGGAGTAGGGGTAGCTACTCTTAACCTGACATCTTTAGTTACATAAAATACTGCATAGCTAGTAATATGCCATATACAGTACTGTATACATGTACTAAACATAGTGTACGTGAAATTATTTGTGATTAATCAATCAAATCACTAAAAAAACAACTGTATGAACTATAATATATAGTTTGTAGTACGTACTATACAGGTGTCTTAGTTACAATATATAATATAAAAAGTTATTTTTTTTTTATATCTAATATGTAAAGCTTTATTAGTAAACTAATATATAAATAAACAAATAAATTATACTAGGTGATATCACTCTAGGTGATATCACCCTAGGTGAAAATTAGTTAAAATCTTATAATAAACTATATATACTTAACAATGTTTTGTAAAAGTTTTATGCAATTATGAATAATTTCTGTTTTTTTATCTTTATTTTAATACTATACCAAATTTAGTACAATATATTAAATTTAGTATAGCTTACAAATACCCATTAATAATTTATTTATTATTATTTTTTTTTTCTTGACTTTGGTAGTCTTGTCAATTGCTCTTTATTAAGATATTATGTTTTTATATGAATATTTTTAAACTTAACATATTGAGTCAACATTTTATAGTTACTTCTATAAGCACTTACAAGTGATCTGCTTGCATCAGTTGCCTAATTTTCTAAGAAAAAAGAGAATCTGGAGGTGCATCCAACTACCATCTTACAATAGAATATTACCAATCTGATAACATCTTCTCATAAAAAAGTGAAAGAAAACAAAAAAAACTTATTATATAACAGAAAAAAAAACACAGATGTATAAAGAATAAAGATAAAAGATACAAAACAAGAAAAAAACGAGAAAAAAAAAAATTAAAAAAAAATACATACAACTTTTACTACATAACTATCAAATAGTCACAATTATAAGCCTGTATTGGACTTTTAAAAAATATAAACTATACTAAATATAAATAACTCTACTATTTTTTTATCTACTAGAATATTTAACAAAAACTATATAAAATAAAACTTCAACTTGAATATAGAGAGTTAGCATAAGGTACTGGTTAGTCTAGAAACAGTATTTTATAGGTTTTAGCATATTAAGGCATGTATATAAGTTGTATTTGTATTGCTATATTGTTTATACAATCCTAATTAGAAAGTAAATACTGTTGACTGTTTTGATATTTTATATATTGTTCTTTTGAAAAGAGTAAACTGAATTACACATTTTTTACAAAATTTTCTTCAAAAAAAAAGAAGCTATAAGGTAAACCAAACTATAGCTTTTGTGAATGCTTATCTCTTCTAAAAGTTTTTTGTAAGTTTTATAGTTGTATATTCAACATTCTTGTTTATTTTATGAGAAACTTTTGGTTTTTCTTCTATAGTTTCAGAGCTCTTTTAAACCATCATTACAAAGTGATAGCTTCTTTTTTAACTCTATTTCAATGCCTACTATGTATGCCTAGTGCTTTAGAAAAATTTTTATAAAGTTTAATATATTAACTATATCATTTTTCTGTAGTTTGGCATTTTGGAAAGTTTGGTTCAGATGATCATCAGAAAGAAGGTTTTCAACTTATTTATTATTATATAAGTGCTGCTAAAAAAAACCTGTTATTAATTATATAGATTTTATATAATTAATAACTAGTTTTCCTTTGACAACTCTTTATATACTTTTATTTAAAAATTAACTAATTCATTATTATTATTTTTTAAAAAAACTTAATTTATTATTATTTAATTTACTACTATTTAATTTATTACTATTTAATTTATGAATGCTTTTAATTTTATTATCAGAATATAAAAATTTGATTAATAAAATAATTAAAAGTTAGAGTAAATTAGTAAATTTTTTTAATTTTACTATTTATTTATTTTTTTTTCTTTAAGCAGTTATACTAATACTTTATTAAGATTTTAAAATTATATTTGAATTATATAAATGTTCTTAATAACTAAGTTTAGCATTATCTGATTACCTTAATAGTATTTAAGTGCAACCTGCTGCATTACTTTAAACAGAAGTAAGCTACTTGTCTAACTACTTAAAGTCTATAATAAAAGAGTCTTTACCCTTTTACAACAAGTTTTAAAATTGTTTTTTATGTTTTTATTCTGATTTGTTTTTCTTTTTCTCCTATTTTTTCTTCTTTTCTTCTACTCTTTGCTAATTTGTCTTTTTTCTTTTACTTAGTTTCAGCTTTTTTTTTCTCTTTTTTTTTTAACCTATTTATTATTTCTACTTTTCTCTTCTATTTACTAATTTTCTTATATCAGACTTTTTATACTTGTTTATAAAATATATTTCAAACTGTACTTGCTATTACACTTGCAAACTACTGTCTTGATTTTATGTTTAGAAGCTGCCATAATTGGTTCTGTATTTTTTTTAAAATTAGGCCCTTTAATTAGTGACTTTTTTATTTTTACTTCCTCAGGTTTTGTTTTTCCAAAAAGCATAGTATATAACACATATAGAGAAATCTGAACTTTTTTTTCTTCTTTTAGTCCTTTTCAGGCTGTTGTAATAATTACTTTCTGTTTCTTTTTCACAAGTTTTTTTGTTTTTTACATACTGCCAAGTGTGTTTGTGTTTCTTTAACTTTATTTTAACATACTTGGCATTTTGTTGTTATATATATTTTTGGTTTTTTTTTGTTAAGTTTTTCTAAAGTTAGAAGTTTATCTATTATATATTTTATAAATGTACTTCTTTGGCACTAATTCTTCTTGTTGTATAATGCACTTTTTAGTTATTTTTAGCCTTTTCCAAAAATATGTCCAATTATAAATTATAATTCTGATTCTGGTTCTAAGTCTTTAATTGCTTTTGTTTTCTTTCCATTTTGCTTCTAATCTTGCATTTATTATTAATTTTATAGCAATCTTGCTAGTATATTAGTTTATTTGTTTTTCTACTTTAAGCAATACTTTATCTCTTTACAACTAACTTTTTCAATCTGCACTGTTTTCTTGCTTCTTTCTTTATCAGACTATCAACTTTGTTATTTTATCTATCTTTACTATAACTTTTTATTTTAACTAATTCTATTCAAATGTTTTTTGTTATAATAAGGTTTCTAATCTTTATTATTTATATTGCATTCTTTTTTTTGAAAATCTTATTTATGTTTGCTTGTTCCAAACCTCTACTAATATTTCTTATTGCAGCATTATTATCTGTATATATTTCTATTTGTTTTTCCTTTAGTATTATTAAGATTATTGTCTATATTGCTGTTAGCTCAGCTATTGTTGATGTTTGTCATTCTTCTAAATCTAGCATTATTTTTTCTTCTGCCCATTTTTGTGTTTTATTCATTTGAACCCATCTTATATCCATCTTATTTTTGGTTATTGTATTTTTTTTGACCTTTATGCTTGCTATATTATTCATATATATTATATACTTATTCTTGTTTTTGTTATATTTCTTCTTATAACTTCTATTATTTCTTAATTAATATTCTCATTTAACTTCTGTCATCTAATAATTTCTACTTCTAACTTTTTTATTGTTCTAATTTCTTTAAGCATTGCTTTTTATTTTCTGGTCTGTTCATCTTTACTGTTTCTGCTATTTGATTTATTGCTATATTAATTTTTTTTTTCTTCTTAAGCAGTTACACTAGTATTTTATTAAGATTTTGGAATTACATTTGCAATTACATAAATATCCTTAACTACCAAGCCTAGTATCACTCGACCACTCTAATGGTGCCTAAGTGCAACTTGCTGCATTACTTCAAGCAGAAGTAAGCTGCTCATCTGACTACTTAAAGTCTATAATGAATGAGTCTTCTCCTTTTATAACAAGCTCTAAAATTGTTTTCTGTGTTTCTTTTCTGATTTGTTTTTCTTTTTCTTTTGCTTTTCCTTTCTTTTCTTCTATAGCTTGCTGATTTGTTTTTTCTTTTTTATTCAGTGCTTTTCTTTCTTTTTCTTTTTCTTTTTTTCTTTTTATTTTATCTGTTATATCTTTATTTTTCTTCTATTTATTAATCTTTTCACATCAAATTCTCTACACTTGTTCGTAAAATGTATCCCAGGCCATTCTTGTGATTATATTCATAAACTGCTGTCTTGATTTTGTGCTTAGGAGCTGCCTCAATCTGTCTTGTGTTTCTTTTAGAATAAGACCTTTAATTAGTGCCTTTCTTATTTTAATTTCCTCTGCTTCTGTCTTTTCAAAGAGTGCCATATATAATATGTATAAGGGAACTTGAACTTTTTCTTCTTTCTTTAACCTCTTCCAAGCTGTTGCAATGGTCACTTTTTGGATTCTTTTCTACAGGTTTCTTTGTCTCTTACATGCTGCCAAATGTGCCTGTGTTTTTTTTGTTTTATCTTAACAAACTTGGTATTCTGTCATTGTATATATCTCTGATTTTCTTTTGTTAAGTTTTTCTAGAGTTGGAAGTTTATCCATTATGCACTTTATAAATGCACTTCTTCTGGCATTACTTCTTCTTGTTGTGCAGTATACTCCTTTAGATGTCTTTAGTCTATTTCAAAAATATGTCCAATAGTAAATCATAACTTCTGTTTCTAATTCTAGAGCTCTAATTGTTTTTGTTTCTTTTCATTCTACTTCTAACCTTGTATTCGTTATCAATTTGCATAGCAGTCTTGTTAGTATGTCAGTATGTTTGTTTTCTCACTCTAAGCAGTACTCTATCTCTTCATAACTGACTTTCTTAACCTGTATTATCTCTTTACTTGTTGCACCTTTTTTTTCTAAATTATCAGCTTTATCATTTTATTTATCT